AGCTTAATTATATCATATATTATTAAAATTAGGGTTTTTTCTACTTTCTGTTTATGCCAGAATGACATTCTAATGGACCAGGAGTCACCAAGGTTACTTTTAATGGTCAACTCAGGGTATGCTTTTAAAATTTGCTTTTGAGGAGCGGATCAAGGACAGAGGGTCATGTGACGCAGCTAGTCAATCTAATCTCCGGGGATTGTATGTGTCCATATGCCGTGAGGTGCATTTCTCCTGATGGCAATCATTAAGGACACTGTCTTATTGTTTTAAGTGCACTCAAAGTACTCAATTAAAAGGTAAATGACATGCAGAATGACTGAAACTAAATCAAGTATAAAACTATAACATCTTAGAACTGCTGAAAAGTTACTGAAGTACACCCAGCAATTAGATAATTTCATATTTGTAATAAAAATATCAGATCAGTGTCTTAATTCTTACCTATCTGGCCCATTCTCCATTTTGGCGATGCAACAATGCTTCCTCCTATCCAGAAGAACTCCTCAGCCAGACGTGATATCGCAGCTTTCTGCCATAGTTTAGGTGAAGTCATTATAGAAGGAGAGGGTGATTGGAAAGGTGACGGCGGCCTCCTCCCAGGACTCACGGGACGCCGGGTTAGAGACGGTGAAAACAAGGCTGGAGATGATGGTGCCATTCCTGGAGATGTGTTCATTACTGCTGGACTCTTGTGTAGTCATAACCTAGACCTCTGGTCATGTTCCTCGCCCACCGTATCAGTGCTGTAATTCATAAGGTCAGCTCTCTTCCACCAGCGACATCCAGCGAGACAGGTGTTACTGAAATGATGAGCCAATAATTCTCAAGGGTAGCAATGTGCATGTGGACAGATGACTTAATTCCAGTTGACACCTCTTCTTGACTGATCCTCTTAGCAATTGACCCTCCCTCTGGTCCATTGATATTGTGTTTTCTTCAGAAATTCCAGTGTGAGGGCAATTAGACTGCTATGGTGAACGGGTGTGCTGTGGAGGCTAGTTTAGGAGGAACTGGGACGGGAAGAAGAGTCACACGTGTCAGCAGTCAGTAAATCTCTAATCCAGGATGAGGAGAAGGCATTGCTCGTACTAGGGGATTTTCATGCCTTGCTTGTCAACTTGAGGAAAAGGATAGGGGATGATATATCAATAGTTGGAATAATGTGAATTAAAAAGGGAAACATGAAATTAATCTGGGTTCTATTACTACATGTATATCAAACGCATGTCGTTTATAAGCTTTTCTCAACAAAAAAAAAGAATTAAATATATTTAATGTCTTATGAACTAACACCTGGTTAACTGTTCTTATAAAACTATACATATATACACACAGTCACAAAACAGGAGATGAGGCACGTAGATCAACTGAACAGGATTTTTATTCACAGAACGATAATGGTATCTCAGATCATCAAGCAGGTAAGTGAATGGCATAAGCAGTTCTATTTGACAATCACACTTAACTGAAGAATCTCTATCTTTGTAGGATCGATCCTGGAGTTTTCTGAAGTGAAACAGACAGATGGGTCAATGGCATTTAAAGAACGAAGAAGGTGAGGAGTAAACAGGTAGGTAGTCGGGTAGGTGCACTCATGTAGAGACTAATGAGAGCGGAGAACAGGTGAGTAGAACTGTGTGCATTTATAGGACTCCTAATTGTGATGTGACAGGTGTGGCAGGTTAAAACTCTGGTGATTGTGAACGAGTGGGTGAAGCTCGTGCTGAGGGAATGCTGGCTGAATCCGTGACAGTACTCCACCTCCACAGGCAGCTCCAGATGACCGGGAGTGGCGACGAGGATGACCTCTGTCCCGGGAACTCGGAACTTACATTTATTCATTTTTCATTTAGCAGTGACGCTTTTATCCAAAGCGACTTACAATTGCTATATATGTCGCACGCCTCTGGAGCAACTAGGGGTTAAGTGTCTTGCTCAGGGACACATTGGTGTCTCACAGTGGATTCGAACCCGGGTCTCTCACACCATAGGCATGTGTTTTATCCACTGCGCCAACTTGGTAAGTAGAGTGGGATCCAGAATGTCATCGTGTGAGATCCATGATCTTTGGGCTGTATTCTCTCAGTCCACCAAGTATTCAATGTGATTACCTCGTCGGCCGGGAGTCTAAGATGGAATGGACAGTGTAGATCTGATTGTCATCCGCTTCTACTGGATGAAGAGAGTCATGGTGAGGTTTGAGCAGAGAGACATGAAAGGTGGGTAAAATTTTGTATGGTGGATAAAATCGTTACACCGTTTATTTGGGGTTGGATGGTGATTGGGCCTATGAATCGAGGACTCAGTTTGCAACAGGGCAGTCTGAGCTGAGTCCATGAGATGTGCAGGATGGATGGAACGTAAGTGCGTCCCTCAGGACCTCCCAACGGAGCAGGTTTATCTCTTTTGGTTGCTGCTGCTGATGACGAAGGTTCAAACAACGTGCATTCTGTAGATATTCCAGGTTACTGTGATTTGTGATTACCAGAAACAAGTGTTTTGCTCCCTCCAGCCAATGTCTCCATTCGTCAAAGCAGGCTAGCTTGATAGTGAGGAGCTCACGATTACGGATGTTGTAGTTCTGGGCTGATTCCCCCAGCCGCTGAGATAGCACTGCCTCCACACCACTGGTGGATGCGTCTACTTCCATAATTAGGGGTAGATTTGGATTGGGGTGTTTAAGAATGGGAGTGGTGCAAAAGGCTTCTTTCAGTTGTTGGAAAGCTTCCGTGGCAGCTGGACTCCAGTACATAGACTTGGGCGGGTAACGGAGTAATGAGGTTATGGGAGAGGCAATTTGGCTAAAGTTGACAAATTTACGGTAGAAATTGCCACAGCCTAGAAATCGTTGTAGTTCTTTGATTGAAGAGGGTTGTGGCCAATCTTAGTCTGATTGTACTTTTCCCTGGTCCATCTGAATGCCGCATCCGTCGATGATGTAACCCAGGAAGTGGACAGATGGGGGATAAAACTCGCACTTCTCCAGCTTCAGGTAGAGTTAGAAATGTCTGAGACACTGAAGGACTTGCGCAACATGGTGGCGATGTTCAGCCAGGTTCCAGGAATAAATAAGGATATCAACGATGTAGATGACGAATCTCTGGTGCATGTCCCGGAACACCTCATCCATGAAGCCTTGGAACTCGGAAGGTGAGTTTGCCAGCCCGTACGGTATAACCCGGTACTCATAGTGCCCTGATGGTATGATGAAGGCAGTTTTCCACTCTTCCCCCTTCCGTATTCGGATGAGATTGTAGGCGCTGAGCAGGTCCAGCTTGGAGAAGATGCGAGTGCCTCTCAGTTGTTCCAGAGCTGCTGAGACCAGGGGAAAGGATAACGACAATGGTTTGATCATTGATCAATTCCCAGATCTGGAGAAAGACCCTATCAGTAGGCGGCCTCGATTCAGGCGACCTTGTTCAACTCGCTTGCATAAGTAGGAGTGATATAATATAGGTGATCTTGGCTTTGTCTGTTAGAAAACAGGGAGCTTGCATCTCAAATTGCAATGAAGATTGCAACAGGAATCCACTGCAATCCTCCACCGCTCCAGAGAAGGGCGCTGATTGGGTCATGGGACTGGCTGATGTGACTGACGAAGAAGGATTGGAGGAAGTAGTGACTGTCAGAAAGTTTGTACCGGTTCAGCAAACGGATCAGGAGCTCCTGGTTCCATTGTGATTTTTAAAGATAGAGTAGAATCTGTTGAACTGTGTGCATTTGTAGGACTCCTAATTGTGATGTGACAGGTGGGGCAGGTTAAAACTCAGGTGATTGTGAACGAGTGGGTGGAGCACCCCCTGCTGGCTGAATCCGTGACATATATAAACTGTAAAATAAAATTATAGAAATACAAATGATATAAATATTAGATTTTTTTGTGCTGTCAAAACGATTAATCGCATCTTACATAAAAGATTTTGTTTACAAAAATGTTTTGCGATCAATTGATTTGGCAGCACTAACTTATGAATTAGGGTTAACTGTTCTCATAAAAATACATATTATAAATATATTTGATCTTTTCTTATATACTATGGTTAACTGTTCATAAAAATTATTTATATCTTTTTTAATCTTATAATTTGTAACCTGTGTTAACTGATGAGTTAAAAAAAAAATCTGTCTTATGAACCAGGGTATTACCTGTTCTTATATATATATATATATATATATATATATATATATATATATATATATATAAGATATACATAATCATGTCATTAATAATATCTTATGAACCAGGGTTAACTGTTCTTATAAAAATACTTATCAAAAATACAAATGTTCTTACTTTGGTTAACTTCATATTAAAGTAATGTAATCTTATAATTCGTAACCAGTGTTAACTGTTCTTATAAAAACACAAATTATCAAAAAAAATATATATATATATATATTAGGGCTGTCAAATGATTAATCACGATTAATCACATCCAAAATATATATTTTTTTACATAATATATGTGGGTGCACTGTGTATAATTATTTTGTATATATATAAATACACACACATGCATGTATATTTAAGAAAAAAATATTATTTATAAATAAAATATTTATATTTATATATAATATAAATTATATATAAATCTATATACAGTATATACATGAAAATATTTCTTAAATATATACAAGCATGTGTGTGTATTTATATATATATAAAATAATTATACACAGTGCACCCACATATATTATGTAAAAAAACTTTTATTTTGGATGTGATTAATCACGATTAATCATTTGACAGCCCTAATATATATATATAAATCTTATGAATTAGGGCTAACTGCTCTTAAAAAATAATTTATATTTTGATCTTATCTTATGAACCAGGGTAAACTCTAATTTTATCCTGACAGATACAAACAATACATAAATAAAATAAAAACATTTTAAAATGCCTCAAATCTATCAAATCTGGGCTCTATAGTTGCTTTAAATTGATAAAATCCTAATTACTGAACGTAGCAAAGAATATCAGAAAAGACGAGACGAATGGTTGATTCTGTTTAATGATGTTATTATTCGTGGGGGAACATTAAAACAAGTAAAGAAAATGACCCACATCAAAACCAAAACTATGACAAGACCCTGAACACAATGCATATCTCAAGTGTGACGCATAAAAACATCAAGAGGTTAAAAACTGACATAGGCAAGCATACGGATCTCGTTATATAGAAGGGGAAGTAAAAATGTACCCAGAATAAATAGAGCGATGGAGAGGTTAGAATATGTATTACTGCAGGTTTATTCAAGACAGGGGTAATGAAGATAAAAGTTTTTTTTATAAATTCAGCAAATATTCTTTACAGTTCATCAGTCACATTTCTGATTTATCAACCAGAATTCTCAGAATGTGAAACTTTGCTTTGGTAATTATATAAAGTGATTTCCAAAGGGACTGAAATTATTCAGAAATATATTGATCTAAGATTTTTGTTAATATTATTACATAAGGATTTTATACAGTAAATGCCCTCTAGTTGAAAATATGATAGGAGAAATTCACTTTCGTGTTACATTATTTCATACATAAAGTCTATTGGTTTTGGAGCAAAAGCATTTAGAGTGAAGTGTAAAGCAAGCTATCATATTTACATAGTTTTTTATGTTTAAGTGGTATTCACATCTGTAACAAATGTATGAAAACTTTTTTATTCAATACTTGATGTCTGAGATCTAAAAAAAACAGAGGGCTTCAAATACACAATACAACTATCTTTTCTTAAAAGTGCAATTCTTTTTTTGGTAGAAAGTAAAAAAATATATATCCTTGTTTTCTATATAAGTAGAAATGTTATTTTCATTAACAGCATTTTTATTTATTAATTTTTTACCTTAAACCAGTGACTAAAAATGGATGTTTGTCACACGAGTATAATTCTGATTCTGAACAAAAAACATTAATTTCACCATCAAACGGAGCATGGAGTGATCAATGTCATGCCCTCGTCTGGACTGGTAAAAATAGTGAAAACTGGTAAGTAAAGTATAATACTTGATATTGAAGTTTAGGACAGATGGTAGGATTCAGCCCATATTGATCATTGCCAATACTATAGGGTTTTAAGTACATGGTAATTCAAAATACAAAGTTAAAAAGCTCATTTGAATGTAGGTTTATAATAAAGCTTTGCTGCACCCATAGCACTGTCGCTCATGCAAACTATTTCGATACAACAGCGAAAAAAAGGTGAAATAAAAGCGAGCAAAACCTTGTAATGACAACACCTGTGTAGCAAGTATAATTCTGGCTTGTAACACTTTCTAGTTTACAGAGTATCAGCGGCACTAACAGGTTGTTCACCTGCTACTGTCAATGTAATGTGAATAGAAAACACATTTGTTTCCCAAATATTTTTCAAGTATCTTTGCAAAAAATTTAAATAGCTTATAACAAAATAAATTCCTTAGATTAGCTTAAAGAAGCTAACTGAAGGCGAGTCAGTTACACGCAATGCCACCGTCTCTGAACGTCCTCCCATCGAGGAGCGACCAAACTTCTTTCCAGTTACTTGAGTTCATGATTTATGGTTACAGTTTCCATTGGTTTTGGTAAACGCACACTGTAAGATGATTGTTAATCATGACCATTTTCCTGTGATCCAGAACTTTTTTCATGAATACGTTGGCTTTAGAGGCGTCCTCTACTCGTCCTCAAATCAAAGTCTTCATCCTCAGCCATACATTGAACACATTACTCTAAATGTTTAAGATACATCTTCAGCTCTCATTTCTTTCTTCTCTCCCTCTGTCGGTTGTGTGTTTGCGATGGCGTGTCCCTCCGTCTCTGCTTTGTGGCCCAGCTGTTCCTGAAGCTCTTTGACGACCCTCTCCAGATTCTGCCGGGCGTCCCGCTCCTTCAGCAGGTCTTCTCTTAACTGCTCACGGTCCACTTCTGCTTGCTGGAGCTTCATCTGCAGATCTTCAATCTGATGGAGAGAAAAAGAGATGTTGGAAGTCATTTTCCAGAGCAAATTTTGTGCACATCCTATTTGTCATTATACTTTATTATTCACAGTGGCGTCCAAAAGCTTCTGTTTTAACTCACCCTGCTCTCTCACAGTGTAAATGTATGGATGATCCGAATCTCACCTGTGAGGAATACTTGGCCCTCAAACGTCCTGCCTCGCAGCCCTTATCGCACACCCGGAGCTGTCTCTCCCTGTCCAGCTCCCTCTTCAGCCTGCCGCAGGACTCGTTGGCGTCTCGCACCTTTTTCTCACACTCCACACGGAGGCGCTCAATCTCCTTCCTCAGGTTCCGCTTTGCCTCAATGGCCTCCCTCAGCCTGCCCTTCTTAGTCACCCTGACAAACTCCAGCTCCTGTGAACGACAGGCAATATTATTGTTGAAGAACAGCACACACGTTTACAAAGCAATTCGCTATTTGATTATCAAAATTAACTACCACTACACAAACTACCACTTTGACGCTTTAAAAAGTTCATAAAGAGATCTTAAAACTAATCCATATGAATTAAGCGGTTTAGTCCAAATTTTCTGAAGAGACTCAATCAATTTATAAGATAAACATTTAATCTAAGCTTTCATCCACATATTATAATCACTGATCAGCGAACATAAACACAATCTCAACCAAATCAAATAGCGATTATAAATTTGCTTATTTGATTATCGACCTAGAAATAGTGCAGAGCAGTATTATTGTAGTATTTATGTACTATTTTATAGTATTTTAATTTTAGTTTAGATTTTAGTCACTTTGTTATTTTTATTCGTTTTAACATTTCTCTTTAGCTTTAATTTTTTATTGATTTATTTCAGTTCATGGCCAAGTCAACATTTCTATATTTTTTTTAAAGTTTATTTCAGTTAATGGCCAAGTCAAAATTTCTATATTTTTTTAAAAGTTTGTTTTTCATCTAATATTTATATTTTATTTCATTTTAGCATTATTTACAAATTACCAAGAACTATTTTCAATAGTTTTAATTGACAACTACACTGATTATTCTAAATTCAGAATATTCAAAACTATTCTAAAAATATTTATTTTTTATTTTTAGTATTTAAACATTTGTAATGGAATATTTTGTCCTTTATTTAATGTCGTTCTTTGGTTTGAAAAAACAAACAAACTTAAACCTTTGTTGATTTCCAGGTTGAAATGATATTCTGAATGGCAGTTTTCCAGCCTTTGGGAGCTCGCAGTAAGTACCTGCTGAAGGCTGCGTTTGGCTTGCAGAGCGGCGGCTAGCTTGTCCTCTTGCTTCACTCTCATGCGGATGATCTCCTGGAGGAACTTCTCTCTGGCCTCCTTAGAGCTCAGGTCACTGCAGAGTGTCTGCTTGAGGACTTCCAGCTCAGAGCAAGGGCTCGCCCCTAGTCTCACCCTCCCATCATGCACCTCTGCAGTACTGGGAGCGCTGAGGTTCATCACTCCAATGCCATTTGTAAATGGAGGGGACATCAATGAACAAGAGACAGTACCTAAAATAACAGAATAATACAGCAGTGAAATAAAAGTGCAATATTTATTTCATTCTCAATCTAAATGGTGTTGCCAGATATTGCAAAAATACTCTTTTAAGCTTTAATCAGTTTACATGTATCATAATAGTGTACTATCTACCAAACATGGATGTATCAATTGTTTTCGCAAGATGCAGATATATTTAACTGATTTTTTCACATCCTACCTTCACCACAGTTGTCAACCTCGATTTCTGCGTCTGAGTCCTCGTTCTCCTGAGGACGCTGTCTGACTACTGGAGTGGGCAGAGAGGCTTTGGTCACCGGCTGTGATTGTCTCTCTGCAGATGGCCACCTCTTTCTTGGCCTGGAGCTCTCTGTCTTGCTTGTGTTGTGGGTCTCGGTGGGGTGAGAGAAATGGTTCGGTGGCTGCTCATTATTTTTAAATGTGGCAATGGGCAGAGATACATTTGGAACTGCCAGGCTGTCTTGTCCTTTAGCAAGTGGTCTGAATATCACAGGAAAAGGAGACATTAATTAAATGTCTCAATCAAAGCAATGTATTGATGCAGTGGAGATGAATTAATTACTTATGGCTATATTAATGCTATCATGGTATAATCACAGAATGTTTACATGTGCGCACCTCTCATACTTGTGGCTAGGTGTCTCTCGCTCAGCAGAGGGAACTCTGGGAGACCAGGGCCTGAAGGCTGAAGGTCTCTGCTTGAACTGGAGCTGCTTAAGATCCTAAACCGAGAAAAATAAGACCGTTTAATTAGGGACGCAAGAAGTATCATATTGTCAGCTATTGACCAATATAGACAATTCATCAGTATTGATTTAATTGTTTAGTTTTTACTGTGCATTTGTTTTTCATTTATTTAGACAAAATAGTAAAGAATTTAAATACTAGCATCCCTAACTTCATTATCTATGATGCCTAGATAAAATAGCCAAAATAATAAATGCTGATAATTTTGAAGAGTAACTTTTCATTTAATTCATAATCCGGAGGTCTATGGGTTGGTTCAACTATGCTCAGACTCAGAGTGTGAAAATGAAAACAAGTGTGAAAATTGACCAAACAAAACAACTAAATAAAATAAATATATGAAATTGATAATTGTTTTAAACGAAAGATATAATAGTTTTGAAACCACAAAATATGAATCACGAAATATATCTATCATTATGCGGATAATGTATTTCATTAAGGAAACAAGACAATACAAATCTACCTTATTAGCAGATGCAGTCAGAGACTGTAGCCAATCAGCTTGCTTCTCTTTATCCACTGATGGGGATCTTGAGCGGTCATGTTTGGACTTTTTGGAGGGAATGGGACTGTACGCCTGAAACATAAAAACACACACACACTCTATGAGATGATAAAAAACACTGAAGGCAAGACTCCAGCACTGAGGTAGAGCTTTGACCATGTAGGTGTCGAACCGACTTACAGCTCTCAGCAAATATCTGAGAGAAATCAGGGTAAATATAGCATCAGTACAAATAAAAACCAAACACTACATGCATTCATACAACTAAAAAGGCTTCCTGAAAAAAGAGAGTATGACCATAAGAAATCCCTCCCCTTTGCCCTCAGGTTTCAGCATGTCAGATCCAGGATGCGTTTACCTTTGACGTACCAACGACTTGCCCAAACCTGTGTCTTTCTGACTCAAGTTCAGGAATTTAAAACACCCCCGTAACCTGAGCATCCTGACAACCAGAGTCAGTGTGAAAGTTAGCAGAGGATAAAGTCATGAAAGAGGTGCTGATAGAAAAATGGTTCACAATGAGTAAACGTGGTTCTTTTGGCTGAAAAACACCACCTGGGTGAGAATTATGACTGGATAACCGAGGTCAGGGACTAAAGAGTCGTTGACTATAATGGGACACAAGGGGGAGATGCCGCGCTAGATTTGTCTCATCATATGGTGGTGACAGGAATCTTGTAACGTTAGTAAAAAAAAAAAAAAAATTAATCTTGTAGTTCTATTATATTCACAGTGTATTCACACGCTCACTGTGCCGATCTTAAGTAGCGAACTATAATAACAAACCTGTTATCACAAGGCGTGGGAGCACGCGTTATGTGACCATGGCTGTTTGTAGGGTTCTTTCAATGCGGATCTGACTCATGCTAATACACACTTGCCTCCACGTCCAGCTTCAATGACGACTTTACGGTCGGTAACTGAACGTGGGCCTTGGAGCCGAGAAACACACACACACGCAAGGAATACACAAAGCACACTTATTTTCTGAGAGCGCAGAGTAGAATAGCGCGGAGTAAATGGTGATCAAGGACTCTTCATGATGAGTGTAGCGGCTTAGAGAGCAGCCTCTTACGATTCAATACACTTTCTGAAATATTTAAATGGGCATAGAACGATAGAGGACGTATAATCTTTTAATATTATAAATAAAAAATACCTTGTAAAGAATATTATTTTCTCCACTTATAACATCTACGGCATAACGTTAGGGTAACACTTTATTTTAAGGTGCTTGTAATAAGCAGTAATTAACAGTTAATAAGACACTTATAAGACCTTATAAGATGCATATAAGATGCATATAAGCATTAACTAATGATAATAAATAAATTAAATTAAATAATAAATTTCTCAAGTATCAATACATTGCACTTTTAGAACAGCCGAACAAACATAAATGGTAACACAAACTCCCAGTCCCTTAAAATTTGACCTTCCCAAGAGGGAGTAGTTTCCCTGATCTCTTCAGGGCCTGGACCTTTAATTAACCCTTATATGAAGTAGTTAATGCTTCTATGCATCTTATATGCATCTTATAAGGTCTTATAAGTGTCTTATTAACTGTTAATTACTGCTTATTACAAGCACCTTAAAATAAAGTGTTACCAACGTTGGTAGCCTAGCCAACACATATCTCTTTTAAATCCACCTGACAGGGCTTAAATTGATTAAAATGGTTTTAAATGGGACAAAAATTGCTACAATATTTTAAACAGCAACAGGGAAAGAGGAAAATAAATTTACAAAACTCTGGAACTTGCTAATTTGCAATTTGAAAAAAGACTACTGTCAGTATTATTTAAAGCCAACTGACTTCCTTACCAAACGGCAAATCGCTTTTCAGTTGTATTGTGTCTGATTTGATTCGAATTGAACCAGGAACTGGTACTTGAAGGGATAAGTTATGCCGCGTTCCAGGCAACCTGTAACCCGTGTTTTTTCAACTCGTAACTGGGAGTACATCGATCTAGTACGAATTCACGGGTGGGAAGTCACGGGTTTGACTGCCGTTCCAGTGCACTTTCACGGGTATAAGGTTGGAAAAACACTGGTTACAGCTTGCCTGGAACGATGTACTCCCAGTTACGAGTTGGAAAAACACGGGTTACAGGTTGCCTGGAACGCGGCATTAGTTCACCCAAAAATGAAAATTCTGTCATTAATTACTTACCCTCATGTTCCAAACCCGTAGCTGCTAAGACTTTCGTTCATCTTCGGAACACAAATCAAGATCTTTTTGATGAAATCTGAAAGCTTTCTGTCCCTCCATTGACATAGTTGCGTAACTTTGACGCTTTAAAAAGTTCATAAAGAGATCGTAAAACTAATCCATATGAATTGAGCGGATTAGTCCAAATTTTCTGAAGAGACTCAATCAATTTATATGATAAACATTTAATCTAAGCTTTCATTCACATAAATCACTGATCAGCGAACATAAACACAATCTCAACCAAACGAACCTGCTTGAGCATGAGAAAAAAACTCATTGGTTCTTGCGGAAGATGAAACGTGCTGCGTAACATGGACCTCATTGGTTCTCGCACATCAAGCAAACGTGTTTACATGTGAATAAAAGCCTAAATTCGGCAAAGGGGTAGTTGCATAGCTGTCTATGGACGGACAGAAAGCTCTCAGATTTAATCAAAAAGATCTAAAGTGGAACGACATGAGGGTAATTAATGACAGAATTTTCAATTTTGGGTGAACTATCCCTTTAAATTAAAGACACATATTTATATCAGTTTTTCTGTGATGAAAGGTATTCTAATTCAAATATTTTAAAAATATATATATATTAGGGCTGTCAAATGATTAATCGTGATTAATCACATCCAAAATAAAAGTTTTTTTTACATAATAATATATGTGGGTGCACTGTGTATAATTATTTTACATATATAAATACACACACATGCTTGTATATATTTAAGAAATATTTTCATGTATATACTGTATAAAGATTTATATATAATTTATATTATATATAAATATAAATATTTTATATAAAAATAATATTTTTTTCTTAAATATACATGCATGTGTGTGTATTTATATATATACAAAATAATTATACACAGTGCACCCACATATATTATGTAAAAAAAACTTTTATTTTGGATGTGATTAATCACGATTAATCATTTGACAGCCCTATAATATATATATATATATATATATATATATATATATATATATATATATATATATATTATTGGTCATTTTTGAGCATAGTGATATCTGATATCCAATTATAATGTTGAATATTTTGGAAATGTTTGCAAGTAAATTGTGATGGGTGACATGCTGAAAATAACCATAATCAAACAGTAATTGACAGTTCCTCCCTCCTTCCTAAGTCTGGAGACCTGCCTGCCTTGCGCAAAGGAAAGCACTGTTTTTTTCCCCCTTCAAAAAATGCGGATGGGTAAAGTCAAAACATGACTCAAGGGTTGAACAACCACTGCAGACCCAACAAAGAGCGTCTGTCTGTGTTTGTTCCTTCCCTGAGGTCTGGAGTTCCAGGAAGACCAGGGCGTCCCAGACATAATAGTCTTTGACTGTGCACCCTCCCAGACACCACAAGGGAGCCGCTGATGCAACGTCCGCTGATCTAAAATGCAGGGCAGCCGTGACATGGCCATCACTCACCACCACATCAAAAGCGTGGCCTCGTGACACACATGCAGGGCAGACGGTCTCAAACAGCTTGGCAAAACCACACAAACACATAATGGAGATTGTGTTTGTGTGGTTGCAGATTAGGACATGTATAACATCTGGACTCAAACCAACAGTCTAATAAACGGCATCTCTATTTGTTATAAAATTTTGAAGAATTCTAAATTAGGTTATTGCAAAGTACTAAGAATTACACTACAGCATGAATACAGATAAAATATTTATGCAAGATCAAATGTAACATACTGTATATTCTTATTGAGCAAATGAAAAAACGCGCGAACACAGGCTCCATTACTGATGGAGCACATGAGTGAGTGATTGAAAGAGTGAGTGAGGGCCACATTTCCTCTCTGTAGTTTGCTTTGGCTGATGGCCCTGTGGGAACTCGGAGCGTCTGGTTCCTGAATGTGAGTGGGCGGGTTCGAGGAGCAGGACCACAGAGGAAACACAAAGCAGCAGGAATGTATACTTGAAGGCCAAGTACGGCTTACTCTTAAAGTGGCCATTCAATCCTATGCCCTTTCAACTGCCTATTGTGTAGGATTTCTTTGAAGGCATGTTTTAAAGGAGCGCTTTACGGCAAACATACATGGATGAAACGTGCATATCTAACCGTTGGTTTTCCAGGAATCAATTAATTAATCAAATTCATTATTCTTGTTATGGCGGATAAACAATAAATGGCAGATATTAAAATCATACACTACTTTGTCTAAATAAATAAAAAAATAAAACTAAAAAACAGGCTTGGTTCTTGGAAGCAAAAGGGGTGGGCTGGCAGATATCCTGAGTGGGCATAAAACTCAATGAAATACAGTAATGACAAAATTTTCATTTTTGGGTGAACTATCCCTTTCAGTATCCAACATTACAGTTTTTCTCGATTGCTTAAACACTATAACCAGGCTTTTGAACTAAAATTTCAAAACCATAATGCCATTTATCAAAAAGCACACCCATTTCACTGAACTATGAACACTATTCCCCTGTTTTGACACATTAGTCAGATTTGTTGAACTGTCACAGCAAAACTCTACACACAAATCCCTTCATTTCTCATTGCCTACAACCCGTGGTCATTTATAAAGCACTAGCATTCAATATTGTTCACTCAAGTCAGCTCAGCTTCAGCTCAGTTAGCACACAATTACCCAGGTGAAAACACTAAGAGTCAAAATTAAACACACATCAGTCATATCCTTCAATAGATAGATAAAAGGTTATACAATCTTTTATAAAAGATAAAAATCAGTTTACTGAGTTTTGGAACAATGGATCCACAGAGAAATTATAAGCAATAGGTCGAGGAGGAGGAGGAAGAGAAAGAGGAGGAGGAAGAGGAGGAGGAGGAGAAGGAGGAGGAGGAGGAAGAGGAGGAGGGAGAG